AATCTTTTCCCTTTGTAAAATTTTAATAAATTTTTTTAATTTTTGTTATTTCTCCCAAACATTGTCCCATCGTTCTCCTCTGTTCCTCTTCTTCAATCTGTCCTGTGAGTTTTCTTACTTTCAAAACCCCCTTTTCCTCATTATAAAATTATTTCTAGAAATTCTGTCCCTCTTGCCTTCAATCTGTTGAGTATCAAATTTTCCAAGCCCTCCTTCCTCATTATGTTTGAAAGTTTTTCTCTCTGTATCTTGGTTTCAATCTGTAAAATGAGGAGCAGATTTTCCAAGCCCACTTGGGTAAATTATGTTATTTTAAAGAAATTTCAAATGTTATTCCTGATGTTAGGTATAAATTTAAATATTTTTTCATTTTCTCTAAAACTTCGTTTATGAAAAAATAACCAGTCCATGGTATCCTCAGCATCCTTCTGTAGAACCATAGTTTTGTTGCTTCAAGTTTCTTCTTCATTGGCGATTGTCCAACATTCACTGCCATACAGTAGGACAGATATCACGTAACTCTTTTCTGTGTTTCTAACGAAGTTGTTTTTTTAGAAAATATTCTGCTTAAAGTTTGGAAGCTAATGGTTAAAACATATATTATGAGCCCTCGGATTTCAAAACGCAAACTTCCGTTCTATTGTTCAAAAAAATGCTTCCCAATGTTTAAATTTTTTGAGAAATTTTGATTTAAGAAATCTCCGATTTGTTATTTTGGGCTCCTCTTTTTGCTAACAACCATTCATTCTGTCTTCTTGCAGTTGATGTTTATGAATTTTTGACCGACTTTTTTCACTACCTGAAAGATTTTTTTATTCTTTTTTTTGTGTCTGCTATCAATAGTGTCTCATCTGCATAGCTTATTGTTGTAGCTTATTTAGGGGCCAGAAAGAAAGACACGGAAGACGAAGGCAGGTTGAAACAAGTGTAATTGAAATGAAGAAGATATAGACAGGAAGAAAGATAAGAAAAATAAAAGATATAGGTAAATTTCCGAACGGTAGGTTACAGCGAGAATACAAAATTTAAATTTGTATTTTTGAGAGGAGGAAGAAAGAATAAAAAATTAGGAGGGTTTACTAAAACACTTATGTAAAAAAAATTATGGAAGAATAAAAATATGGATAAAAAGAAAAGAAAAGAAGATCAGAATCACCTCGCTGAATAGGTTGAATTAAGTCCGGTGAGAGGACACATCCTTGTCTTACATCACTTTATATTTCTGTATTCATGTTGAACTTATTTCCTATCCATGTAGAGACAGTTTGCTGCCTGTATAGGTTCTGGGTTATTCTTATATCTTTCCCAAATCAAGGTTGCTGAGCAGTTCCAAAAGATTTTCCAAGCGTTCTTTCCTCATTAAGTGCCCTAGAAATTTCAAATGTCTCTTCCTGATGTTAAGTATAAATTTCCTTGTTGGTTTCATTTTTTCTAAAAATTTCTATTGCTTCAAGATTCGTTTTCATCTTTGAAGAAACTTCCCAGCATTTACTGCCGTATATGAAGATTGATATCACGTAAGAATTCACAACTTTTTATTTGTTAAAACGAGAAAAAAATAATTTGTTGGATGTTAATATTCTTTTTCTTTATATAACCCTTTTATATGTTGCAGACATGTTTATAATATTATTTTGTGACAATTTGCGTAACTAAAACATTTCCCGGATATTTAAATTTCCGTACTTATTTAATGTTGGTTCCTCAAATTTATAAATCGCACTTTTGGGTTCATCCTTTGGTTAACAATCATTAATTCTGTCTTCTTGCAGTTGATGTTTAATCCTTTCTTCTCACTTTCCTTCGCTACCTTCCATAGGAATTTTTGTATCTTTCTTTCTGTATCTGTTATTAACAGTGTCTCATCTGCATAGCTTAAGATTGTTAAGATTATGACCACCAAAAATATATCCTGGTAGGACATTCTAGTTTCTAAAAAAGAATCACCTTCCATATAGGTTGAATTAAGTCCGGTGATTGGGAAATAAACCTTACATTAAATTTCAAATTTCTGTCTTCATGCTGAACTTTTTTTTTTTTTTTTTTTGTTATCCGTGTGCAGGCAATTTGCTGCCAGTATAGATTCTGGGTTATTTTAATATCTTTTCCAAATCAAGGTTGCTGAGCAATTCCAAAAGATCTTTGTGGGGTATTTTATCGAACACCTGTGCGTAATCTATAAAACACAGGTACACGTCCTTCTGTATTTGTATTGCTCTTTCTGATACCATTCTGAATATACATTTCGCATTCCTCATTCTAGTGTCTTCGACAACCTCGCACTGTTCTTGTCCTATTTTCGGTCTGATTCTGCTGCGCGCTCTATTCACCAGAATTCGAATGATCAGATTCCTTATATGATTCATTAAGCTGATTTTGTCCGATAGAGTTCACATTCATTTGCACCTTGCTTTTTAGGCAATGCTATGACTATACATACGGTATCTCACCACTGTTATTAAGATTTCATTTAATATAGGAAAATGTGATCTTGTCTATGCCGAAATCGTCTAAGGCCGCCAGCAGATAAAATACAATTCCGTCTGGCCCTGCTGCTTTGTTTCTGTTCAATTTGGCCAGTGAGGATTTTTCTTCAGATTTTAGTATTTCCAATACGTCGATTTTTCTATGAATTATATCGAATTTTTTTCTTTTCATCGTGGAAGAGTTCTCCAATATATTCGTTCCATCTCTCAAATTTTTTCTTTTACTAAATCTACGTTCTATCTTTGTTCTTTAAAAGCCATATATTTAAAAAAAACTTTTTTCGGCATTAAATAATCGACAGTTTGATAAAAAAGGAAAAAAAAAGCAAATATCTTCTAATAAAACCTTAAAAACATCACTAAAATAATTGATCTTCTTTTATAGTTAATGTGTTCTTTTTTGCCTCTGTTATATCAAAGTGTTCGTAGTAGGTCGATTGTTTAAACATTTAAGTTTTCACTTTTCTTTGATCGAACCAATTAGTAAATAATTTTTTTTTTACTTGAACCGTAACTCCAGTTTAGCTAATGATATATCCGCGTCTCTTACTTCCGTTTACAGCCACATTCGGTCTGTACTGAAGAAGGAAGTTTTAAATTAAAAATTAATAGGGGGCCCATATCAAAGTATTTTAAAAGAGATTACCCAGCATTTTCCTTCTCCTTTTTTTCCCCCTGCTTTGTCTTTATCCTCATCAAGGTTACAGCCATGGCACGCCGAAACACCGGTATACGATCAAATTTGAATTTACAAACATCAGGCCAAGATTCAGTATTTTTTTTTCTCTAATATAAGCGTTGGACATTATGCACTCCGTTGATGAGCATGTCTTTGTGTCATGTTAGTTCTCTTGATTTTTATACATGTCTGCTTTATCTTTTTTTTTATTGTTTCTTTGTTTTTTTGTTTTTTTAAGCGTTTCACCCCAAGCAAG